GGGCGACACTGAGGGTTGCGATCCGTTGCTGGACACGGAAAAAGACAAAAAAAAAAAAATACCACTGGTTGATTTCAATTATGATAAACGTGTTCTGGAGGAAATATTGAGCCTCATAATATATGTAAAGGAAAATTATTTCAATTTAAGAAATAATAAGTTTTTGGCTCAAGGGATTAAAAACAAGTGAAAAGTAAGGGTTTTGTTGTAGGGACTTTTAGAGGCCCTCTCTCTGGCTCAGGATACTGTTTTATTCTGGTTGTATTTTCATCTAAAAAAATATCAAAAGTATTTCCAGTTTATCCTCATAAAGCCAGAAGAACTGTACCATCTGGACCATTTTAATTTAGGCACACCCCAGCTGTAGAGAACTACATTCCTTACACGCATGTCTTGTTTTCCGTGATGGGATGAACTCAGGAGCAGCGTGCCCCGACGCTGCTCACCTTCACCCATGCGGCTCTGTGCACCTGCTTCAGGATCTCACCAGAAATGACTGCTTCAGGACTGAATAGTTGCTGTGAGCTTGCAGCAGGCTTACATTTCTAGTTCAATAAGCAAATGCCACACATCACAGTTCTCTGTGGTGTTGGTGGGTCCTATTTTCTTTGCTTGATTTGACAAAGAGGTCAGTCCTGTGTTATCTTTTCCACCTTCTTTCCAGCATCCCCGCGTTTCTGATATCACACATTTTTGCAAAGTGTGTTCAGGTGGAGTCATGCTGGAGAAGGTGGCCTCAGTGCAGATGGGGACTTGATTGGTCACCTGCTTTGCAGCTGCTGTTGGGGAAGCAGCCAGATGTGGGTCCAACATTCCCAGAGGGACTGCAACTTGTGATCACAGTGCCATTGGGAGGTCATAGAGCCCAGGACCAAATCAGGTGACCCCCTGCTTTAGGAGAAGACTAAGGACAGAGGCAAGAGCATGGAGGCCCCATGCCATGAGGTGGTGGGGGCTCCGGTGGCCAGTGGGAAGTGCTATGCTAGGACAGTTAATGTGTTCTTTCCCCTGGGCAGCTCAGGTGGACTGTGCCCAGAAAAGACACCACCCAGGTCAAGTTATGAGGGTTCTTCAGGAGAACCGAAGATAGCCGATTGGTTTGAGTTTGGGACCTCTGAAGATTATGGTTTTTACTTGGAACCAAGAGGCAGGCACAGGGCCCAGAGAGAAAAGACATTGTTTCCCCGTGGGATGGAACAGAAGGTGGGTGGCTGGGGTGGACCCAGGTGGAGGAAGGGAATGGCCCAGATCTCAATCCTGCAGCCTTGGCCCATGCAAATGGAGAGGTGAGAGTCTGGCCTCTGCCACAACCAGATCTTATCCTTGCATCTGGAATGCCGTATGCTGCAAGGAATAAATGGACAGGCTCTGGGGATGGGGGCGGATGGGCAGGTACGGTCTACAGTGGTGAAACCACAGGCACCCCAGGTGTGCTGATAGCCCTTGATGTGTGTGCCTCCCTGGGCTGCACGGGTCTCAAAATCTTTGAAAGTCTGTGCTTCTTACAGTGGCCCTTTAACAAAGAGGGGAAAGATGTTTTTAATAAAAATTTGCATATGACGTATAAAGGGATCTGGACTCCTTCTAGAGTGTCCAATTTCAAGTTAGCTCAGCTGAAGTAGGTTTTAAAGGCACATTTTCGTGCACTGGTATGAAATCTTCATTACCGTAATTGCTGAAGAATAATGACACTAAAAAATTACTGAGCGTGCTGGCTTGATTCCTCCTATAGCCACCGTAATCTACATGGCTTAACGTATTCACTCAGGTTAGGACTGGTGTCAGGTGAGAATTTCAGAAGTTCTCCACCCTTGTTTTCTATTTTCTGTTGTTTTCATCAAGTGATGAGTATCTAAAATACAGCCATGTTCACAGCTGTGGGATTCAAAGCTGCTTTAAACAATCTTGGATCCCTGTACTGGCCAACCACCAAAAAAAAACAAAAACCTGTCCAGATAAGTAGGTAAAACACACACACGCTCTGAGAGAAAACAAAGGAAATCTAGATGCATAAAATTTTTCAAATCATAAGGGAAGAAAATATCTGGACATTCTGAGCAACTACAACCTGACCTCGAAAAGCCAAAATAGTTTATAAATTCCGTGTACTGTTTCTTAGGAGAAAAACCATGCAGATTAATCAGCAGTGGGGATCATAAAACTGCTTACCATTTTAATCTGCTGGAGAGCTAGAGGATGCAGGACCCTGAGTAGAGCTCATATCTTCACATTTTTTTGGATACATGAACGCTAGGTGGAGATTCTCTTTACAAGTATTGGTGTGAGACAAAGACCTTATGCAATCAGGTAATATGAAACATCTTTTCTGGCTGTTGATTGACTCTTCCTGCTGAAATAGTCCTCGGGATAGTCGTTCGTACTGGATTGTAGCTCATGAGATTGGGGCAGCTGCTCCTCTTCCCACGCTCCCACTGTTGATAACTGATACTTACCAGGCGCTTACTCGATGCCAGGCACTGGGCTAACACTAGCATGCTGTCTTCTCATTCGCCGTCATGCCAGTCCTCAAGGTAGTGGCTGCTGTTACCCCTGTTTTGCTATGGGACAGTGTGGCCTAGAGAGCTTAAAGGAGACTTTGACCTTGTGTCTGTCGAGTCCCACACATGTGCCTCCTCTCTGCTGAGCCCTGTGGACTCCCTGTGGGAGCAGAGTTTGTAAATTGCCCCAGGGAGGGGTGATGACATGGACCATTTCCGAGGATCTGCTTGACATAAACAATGTCACTTGTGATAACATTGTTTAAAATGTCCTAACCTTAAAAATCCTAACTGGAATTTCATATTCACATGAGATGTTTACTGCTTACTCGGGTTTGTGCACCCAAGCACTGTTCAGTTTTCAGTCCTTTTGCCACATGCTACCCAGATCATGTGTTGGCATCACAGATCTGGGGACACCGTGCTGGTGGTAGATGGAAGACTAAAGACTGGTGTGGCCGAGGGCATCTCCAGGAGGGCTGGCAGCAGCGAGAGCTCTCTCGAGGCTGTGGGGGACTTCTCTTGAAACTGGGTTTTTTCTAGTTCACCCTGTCCAGGCAAACACCCAGTGACACGTGCTGAGAGTAGATTCAATGGCAGAAGCATGGCCTTGATCAGAAGAACATGGTTTTTGCAGGGCAAGTCCTGCCCCTTGCACTCCTTTTGAGGTATCCCTGTAATTTCTCTCAAATATAATGACAAAGAAGGAGAATCTATATATTTTACCACAACAGACTAAGTCATTTATTTGCATTTTGGTCAAGTTGAAATCAGTAGGTTATATTAAAAGACTGTTTTTTAGCTTCATTGGCACCCCTTTATTTATTTTCATTTTTAATTGCTGGTTATATGTAGAGGACACTTTCTAATCATGAAATTCCGTACTAGACATAAGACTCAATCATTCTCTAGGTGTAAGTTTTTAAATTGGAGACTCCCAAAGGATGAAGTGGGAGGCATCGCAAAGGTGCCAGGACTGGTTGCAGAGACAGAGGTGGGAGCTGAGTAGCACCAGCGGCCACACTCTAGCATCATCTAATAAGACATTAACAGAACAAAATAGGTCCATTGTGTTTTATTTTTAAATGCCAGTAATTTGGGCCGGCCCGGTGGCGCACTGCTACAGTGCGCCTCTTGGGAAGCATGGTGGCGCTCCCGCCGAGGGTTCGGATCCCACATACAGACTGGCCGCTCACTGGCTGAGCGAGGTGCGGGACTAACACCGAGGGTTGCAATCCCGTGGCCGGTCCCGGTCCGGTACGGGCGCGACACTGAGGGTTGCGATCCGTTGCCGGTCACGAAAAAAAAAAAAGGAAAAAAAATAAAATAAAAAAAAATAAATGCCAGTAATTTAACCAGGAGTCACTCTCTTTCCTCTAGTCTCATAAATCCTCTGTTGTTTGATGATGCTAAAGTGACCTTTCCCCCAGTCAGGCCATGTCCAGCCAGATGGCATGTGCAGAGGTGGAGGTAGCTCTGGCACAGGGTGGGGCAGACCTAATGCATGTTTCTGTGCTGCCCTGTCCCCAACAGCAGGAGCTCATCGAGAGCATTGGTCACAAGCTGCAGGTGCTCCGGGAAGCCCGGGAGAGCCTGCTGGAGGACATCCAGGCCAACAATGCACTGGGGGATGAGGTGGAGGCCATTGCCAAAGACATCTGCAAGCCCAATGAGTTCGACAAATTCCGCATGTTCATCGGGGACCTGGACAAAGTGGTGAACCTTCTGCTGTCGCTGTCAGGCCGCCTGGCCCGGGTGGAAAATGCCCTGAACAATCTGGATGACAGCCCTTCTCCTGGAGATCGGGTATATGCAGACTGACCTGGAAATCAGGGGTCCCCTGGGAAGGCTGTTCATGGGGTGTTGTGAAAGGTGGCTTCTTGAAGCCTGGCTCAGTTTCTGCATGGCCTGCCCAACTCCTAGTGCGAGATACTATGGAAAAGTCCAGTGCACACTCCCATTCTTTGCTTTTAATTGAGGGAAAAACATGCTAGGAAGATACAGTGAGGCGTTGCTGGGATCTTCCCACTGATAATTCCACTGATCATCACTAATAGTGGTCCCTTTCTGGAAAACAATCTCTTTCTAACTTTTCTTTAACCACGTGTAAGTCCGTAAATGGAGCTTCCTACCCCCTGACAGATGGTAAGTGCTCAGTGATAGATGATGTTGTATTGCTACTGATGCTCTGATTTAAGAAGAGAGTGTGTGTGTGTGTGTGTGTGTGTGTGTATAAATAAATAGATAGCAGTCTGGAAAGAATCCAAGGACTTCAGCTTTTCTCCCATTCTCAAGGTGTGCCACTTTGAGACTTTTCTCAGAGGATCTGTCTTTCAGTTTTCTCACTTGCAAAATAAGGGAAATAATATTTACCTTGTTGGCTTTACAGGTCAAATGTCAGTAAAACATCTAGTTTCATTCTTTACACATAATAGGCCTTCAGAATGATCATCTTTTATTATTAATACAACATCTTCACTGCTGTCAGAGGGGAGCAGGAAAAGCCCTCCCCACCCTTCTCCAGGTGAGGTTGGTTTCAGGCTGCCCAGAGAGAGCTCATGGTGCTGGCTTTGAGACTGCAGCTCTCCTGCAGTCGGCCATGGACCCTGCCACAGGAGTGTTTCAACCTTAAGTAACTGGGGGATGCACCCCTATTTCCCTTACGTTCATGTTCCATTTTGCACTTTTTGCCATCCTTGCCAAATTTATCCGAAAGAACATAGGAAAATAACATGAACAGGACAGAGAGACTTATTTGTACATAATTGAAAAAGTAACTGCTGAAAGTATGGATTTATGTGAAAAAAGTAGGATCGTCTCTGCAACTGTCAGTTCAGCTCATCTTTTGTCCCTCTTGCCCTCCTTGTTCATGGAATTGACAAAGACTTACGTAGAAAGGAATCACAGTGCTAGGGAGGGAGCTAGTATGGGGTCCTCCTAGGTGCCCGGCTAGAGCCCTCACTCCTTCCCTGGGGCAGTGTCAGAGGTGAGAAGCCCGGGACACTGAGAAGGCACCTCCTGAAAGAAGCCTGGCTGCACTGCTCCCTGCCTTGGCTGTGTGTAGTTGACGTAGCTTCAGCTCCCAGGACCTGAGGGACATGCGCCACTTCCGTATCCAGGTGCACTGCAGGGGCTGGTGTCCAGCATAGCCAACACTGGCTGAGACTGTCCACGACAGGCAGCCGAGATGCCGGGAAGCTAGAGTTATCGGTTGTCAGACACAGGTGTGCGAAGCAGGTAAAAAGTGCAGAGTCAGGTTTTCAAAGAGTTCCTGCAAAGTCTTTTTGGCTACACAGTGAACACGTGGGTAGACATGGACACGTGGTGTCCCACCCTGACCTCCATCTCAGCAGCTTCCAGGCACTGGTGAGCCCGGCCTATTTTAAGCCTGAACCGCATTTTTAGAAACAGTTCACCTGTTTCCCTTTGGGGTGGAATTAATTTGCTTTGCCTTGCCTCTATCCATGAAAATATTCTCTCTTTGTCTCACACATGCCTAAAGATCAAGGTGTTCCACAGAAGGGGGCAGGATGCTCAGTAAGGCGGTGCGGTGACAGGCGCCTCCCAGAAGCTGTGCACCAGGGCAGTGTCTGATCTCAGCACTGTTTACTGATCGCTCCTCTTTACTGAACTCTTTCTGTGTGCCTGGCATTTTGCGAAGTCCGCCGCAGTCTGGGTGCTCATGGTGGCTGTGAGTAGCATCCACCGAGATGTTGCAGAGCGGCAGAATAACAGAGTGGCTGTCCCAGTGCCCAGATGCAAATCAGGAACTCCAGCCTGGTATCCACCAGCCTGCCTGTGAAGACACTGAATGTTCTTCTTTCCTTTCTTAGATTTCATTACACTTGGATTTTGTTTTCAACACAAAGAATGATCAGTGTTTGAGGTGATGGGTGTGCTCATTACTCTGACTTGATTACACATGGTATACATGTATCAAAATATCACTCTGTACCCATAAATGTGTACAATTATTACATATCAATTAAAATAATAATAAAAACATGAACAAAACAAACAGAAAAAGATGCCCCTGAGCGGATTGTTTTCAGAATCCATGACCTACCTCATCCTTCTAATCCTATCTGGTTTAGATCACAGTTATCATTTTAAATAAATACATTTATTTTACAACTATTAAAGTGATTTAATTACAAATTTAATAAAAAACAACCTGGAACTTCTAGCAAAACCGGATGTGTGTTCTACAAGGCAGAGTGATTGTGTCATGCTTTGGGGACAGGGTCATCTGTGTCCCCCAGAATGGGACACTTGTAAGGAACAAGGAGACTGATCCCCGGATGCCCATTCACAGACCTGCGTCTCCCACCTCCTTCTGTTCCCTCTTGTGTCCCGTCTGCAGATGCACTCACAGACTCCTCCTGCCTGGAGGTTTAGAAACCCCACCCTGGCATTTCTTTAGAGTATTTTCCTTTTGCTGACTTTCCCACAGTGTTATCATGGAAGGAGCTTTGACAAAAATAGGATCCCTGTGTCCTTTGCCCCTTTTGAGCACCTCAGGATTCTGTTGTTTTTTGTCCTTGGTTACTCTTCTGCTCACGCCATTTCTGTTAACTGTTCAAGGCAGGTGGGAGGAAACTCAGGTGGTCCATGAGTGGCCTCCTGGCCAGCTAGGGCTGGAGCCACTGGAAATACTTGGTGTGGGTTTCATGGGATCTCTGGTGGCATCAGGGTTTCCATCGATGATGTTATGGCTGGCCATGGGACCAGCCTCAAAACTTGCCAGTGTTTTCAGGGGACTGGCCGGAGCCCCTGCTTTAGTCCTGGTCCTCAGCAGGTCTGTTTTTCTCTCTCTCAACAGCAATCGCTGCTCGAGAAGCAGAGAGTCCTCACCCAGCAGCACGAGGATGCGAAGGAACTCAAAGAGAACCTGGACCGCCGTGAGCGCGTAGTGTTTGACATCCTGGCCAGCTATCTCGGCGAGGACAGCCTCGCAGACTACGAGCACTTTGTGAAGATGAAGTCAGCCCTCATCATCGAGCAGCGGGAGCTGGAGGATAAAATACACCTTGGTGAGGAGCAGCTCAAGTGCTTGTCCGACAGCCTTCAGCCGGAGAGAGGCAAATAAGAGATCCATCCGGTGGAGGACGGACATGGGGCTTCAAGCTCTGTCCCCAAGGATGCAAGTGCAAAGCCCAGCCTGTATTTATATCCTGCAGAGAGGATCCTCCAATAGCAAAGTGACTGTTAGAAAAGCAATAACTTCTGTGTTTTTAGGATGATTTATTTAATCTTTTAGTTTCCCCATTGAATACTCAGCAGAGAGTCTCACCCGCAGCCGTCCTCCTCTCACCATAGCTGCCCATAATGCCGGGCTCTGCTGAATGGTGAGTTGCTACCATGCAGGCTGTGGGCGGGGCCCGGGTGCCCGCAGTGGTCATTGCCAGTGGGAGAGCTGCTGCTCCTCTTCAGACACTGAACCCACAGCTCAGGAGGCAACTGAGTATCAAGGTGCATGAGCGTGGAGACCCTGGTGTGCATGTCTTCTCTTGTGATGCATCAGGTGTGGCTGCCACGTTCAGTCCCTGCTCACTCAACAGTGTGTGTCTTCGTTGTCTCTATCATATAATGATGTTCTCTGACCCAGCAAAAATGATGATGATAATGATAATTTATTAATAATGGAAAGATAAAAAGAAAAAAAGGTTAAAGAAAAGTTAAAAGTTTCCTAATGGTTAAAAACAACTGTGAAATGAACAAACTATGTGTTGGGCTCACTCATTCTAAGATTAAAGTCACCACTTAAATAATGTGCATGCTTTAAAACATTCACACACAAGCAAACAAATAGTGCTTCTCACCCTACATCACAGTTTAAATGATAAATTACTTGTTAAAGGTGTGTCCCGCAATAATGTGCTTGTTAGCCATCTATTTCCCAAGACCAAGAGAGTGTTTCTTAAGTTACTTCCCCCCCCGAACATTTATTTTGTGTGCCTGTGGTCTTTAATGATAACTGGCTACTGTTCTTTTTTGCCTCCTTGAATCTGTTACCATGCCGTGAGGGCCACATCCCACATAATGTGAGACCCCTCCCTCTCTTTGTCCCGAGGTCCAGTGGACTACATGACTCCTACACTTGATCTTTTTCTTCCACAGAGTTTAAAGATTCTGTATCCTTTTCATTGGTTGAAAGGGCAAAATTCTAAAGAGAATCTGATTCACTAAAAAACATTGTCATGCTGTCAGTTTCCGTGTGACAAGTTGCAGACAGAGAGAAAATATTCGCAAATCATGTATCTAACAAAGAAAATTTGTATCCAGAATGTATAAAGAACTCACAAAACTTAACAGTAAGAAATACAAACAGCCTAATTAAAAAGCGGGCAAAAGACTTGAATAGACACTTCACCAAAGAGGACATACGCATAGCAAGTAAGCACATGAAAAGATGTCCAACGGCCTGCCGATGGCTTGGCTATAATTTATTTTATCTCATAATTGTAGATCTGGGTGTTTCTTCAAAAAAATGTTGATCTAATTAAATGCATGGTTAGTCGTGAGCCAGTCCTTCCGATGTCTTCATGTCGAGGTAGTATAATAACAGGGCATCTGTTCTATCACGGGATTGTTTTAATCCTCATTGCCACTTAATCCCATAGAACAAGTTTTCCAGCAGGTGGGGACATTTCCCTTTGTCAGCAGTGACCACAACCTTACCAAAGCGTTCACGCACACGCTCACAGATGTCTTAAAGGACCGAATCCACGCTTCCTGAGCCAGAGGGGCTGGGCTGGGCTCCGAGGCACTGCGCGGTCGGTAGCGCGCTGCAGAGAGCCGAGTCCGAACCAGCCAGCTTCCACAGTGCAGGCAGCACACCGCCTTTTTGGCAGCCTACCAATGCAAAAAGGATAAATGTCTTTTCACAAGTGTTTCTTCCTGTTCCATTAAGCTATTTCTAACTTGGAAAATCCCCGCTCTGCCAATGAAGTGTCCTGCTCCTTTCCAGCTGGCAGTCCCTTGCTGTGAACATTGGTCACGTCACAAAAGCTGAAGCTGCTGTCCATGGACCTCCTTGCTTCCTCGGAGACAGCCGAAGTGATTTCAGAATGTTTTGTTTTTAATTTAGACAAAGCTTTCACCTGTGATTCTTTCCCTTCAAGTACAGTATTGTGATCATTTTGATGATATGTATGTAAAGTGTGAATAATTCGTGTGTCTGTACCCAGCCTTTTGATGTCTTTTTAGGACTTTCTCTTATACATAGCAATATATAGTGCCCTAGTATCTTTTTAGCAAAGCACATTATCGTCACAGCTGTCCTGTCTGTTCCTGTTTGCCTCTTAAATGTCTGGCTAGCAGGAACAGACAGGACAGCTGTGACGATAATGTGCTTTGCTAAAAAGATACTAGGGCACTATAGTTGCCCCAGTAATGCTGCGTAACTGTAAGATCTCAGCAGTGTACAGTGCAAAATGTTTACTTGGCTCGTAAATTTGTAGGTCATCAGCTGGCCCAGGCTGGTTTCTGTGCTGTGTGCCTCATCTTCCTCCTGGGACCAGCAGTCTGGCCTGGGCATGTCTCCAGGGCAGATGCACGAAGCAGTAAGCCCCTCCACAAAGGTGCTGGTCACAGCTTTGGTCCTATCACACCTGCTAACCTTCCACTGGCCAAAACACATCACATGGCCTAACCCAGAGTCGAAGGGCGTGAACAGGCGCCACCTCTGTAGTGGAAGAAATTATACTGTCATGTGGCAGAGTATGGACACAGGGAGGTGTGAAGATTCGGACTGCCAATGGGCTCTGGCACTGGTGCCTACTAAGATGGAGTGGCACTAAAGTGTCAGGAGTGTGGATCAAAGCCACCTCTGTCACCTTCTAGTTGTAAGGCCATAAGCAAGTGACCTAGGCACTCTGGGGCCCAGCTTCCTCTCCTGAAACTGGAGATGAACTGTGAGATCACGTGAGTCAATGCGTGTCAGTGCTCATAGAACCAATGCCTGGTTCAGAGAAGCCCTGTCCGAGTTGTGAATGCTGTTTTCTCATTCTAGTCTGGAGCTGGAGGAAACGCTACAACCACTGGAGAGCCAGTTGGTTTCTTCTGGGTTGATAAGATTAGAAATGCTTTTGCTAAGGGGCAGATTTGTGGGACCTCAAGGTTAAACCATTGGGATTGTAGGAGGACAGTTTTTAATAAAATAATGCAAAATTAGGTTGGAGAATATTTCAAATTTTAAAAATTCACAACAAATTAGATTTTAAAAAGCAGACAAATACACATTTTTATTTTTGGCTCCTACCATTCGACCAGGCTATGTCAGCCTGACTTATTTGATTTCTGAAATGATGAAATTGGGCTGGGTCAGTTGGTTAGAGTGTAATGTAACACCAAGGTCAAGGGTTTGGATCTCTGCACTGGCCAGCTGCCAAAATAAGTTAATGAAATGATCAAGAAATTCGTACACAGGAGCAATTCAAATGCAGTTTTAGATGCTGCTGTGATGTTAGGTCATGCGGTTGTATAATCAGATGGCCATTTTGCAGGTACCTCAACTCATGGATGATAGTGTGCAGGAGTTTCTTCCTGAGCACTTGTGTGTTCAGGCTGATGTACTGCACTGGTGACAGTTCTGTCTGCTCTGTGGTGTGGACCCGTCAGACTTCACCGAGATGGCATGTGTCGGGTACACAGGTACGCTGACACACAGTCTGAGACGTGGGGACACAGCAAACAAGTCAATGCATTTTCAGACCTGTTTGCCCTGCTGCCACAAGCTTGTGCCCCACAAGTACAGGCATTCTGAATGTTTCTGCATGTCCACTAGAAGAAAGCAAATGCGTTGTGTGTGTGTTCTTGTATATGCTGCATCTTAAGTGCAGCAACTCACATACATGTACCCCACTAAACCCAAGCTATATTATCCCCAACTCTACTAGCTTTCAGCCAGATCCCCAAAATGCCTGTAGCAGTTCTAGTGCCACCTGCACCAGGAATGAGATGTGGACATTATACATAGGGTACTCTAAGAAGGACANAGTTTACAACACTGCCACATTGGGGATCAAATTTCCACACGAGTTTTGGAGGGGACAACACATCCAAACTCCAACAGTTAATACAAATAAACCACCTAATACCAAGCATATTAGTCCATTTCTCTTGCTTATAACATAATACATGGAACTGAGTAATTTGTAAGAAAATGAAATTTATTGCTTACAGTTTCTGAGACTAGGAAGTCCAAAGTCCAGGAACACATTTGGTGAGGGTGTTGGTGGTGGTGACAGTGACTCAGGGGTCTCACATGGCAGACAGTGGCTGAGCAAAGACAGCCTAACCTCTCATGTGCTCTTCTTTTAAAGCCCTCAGAACCACGCCACTGACCACCAATTTTAATCCATTCACTACTGCACAGTCCTACAGTCTAATCACCTCTTCAAGGCCCCACCTTTCAATTATCATAATAGGATTTCCCACCTTCTTAACAGTCAATGTGGGGATCAAGCTACTAATACATAAAACTTGGGGGACACAATCCGTATCATCAAGTCTGGCACATGGTAAATAGTCAAATAGATGTTAGCTACTGTCATTCATTTTATGGTTCTATAATGGTGGGCGAGTTACAAATTTGGTTTAAAGTTTTCCAGTTCTGAGGCAAAGAGAGAAAAATCCTCAGGTACAAGATTTGTGGTATGTTTAAGCTGAGAAGATATCATTGGTTCAGAAGCTGTGCTGTGTCAAACACACTTGGTCTTGAATGCAGCAGATTTGGGGTAGTCTGCAAAGCGACTGGCTGGAAGAACTCACTGTAAACACAGATGTACTTTCCTCCTAGAGAGCACAGTTAGAGGCAATCTGTGTAGAGGCTAGCAAGTTGGTCTTGACTGTCAGAGCTCTGGACTGGAATCTCCAGCCCTCCTTTCACCTGGCTGAGTAAACTTGGGAAAATTCATGAATCTCTCCAAAGTTCAGCTTCTATGTCTACAAAATGGGTATAATAATAATGCCCACCTCATGTGGGCAAAGAGATTAGGCAAATAGAGCCCTTCATCTATGGCCTGGCACATATTACTCAGTGAATATTTGTTTTTATTGTTATTAGTTGTAAAGATGATTTTTTTTTTTTTTTTGTTTTTTGTCTTTTTTCTGAGGTGGAGGCTGACCCCTCGCCCTGTGTCTTAGCACAGGTGTGGAATGCCTGTGCAGTGCGATTTCGGTCAGGGGTGTGGCCTGTGGCTTGTATCCTTCAGTCCACCGTGGCAAATGTGTACAGAGTTCAGGCTCGACTCATCACTTACCTATCAACAGATTGTCCCGCTTGACTGTAACAAAATAAATACTGTCTCTTCAAGTGAATGGAGCATGTCTTTGATTTATGTTACAGCTTTGATCAGTGTTACAGCTTTTTTTTTTTAAAGAGTCAGAATATCCTCGCCATATGTCAGATTCTTATTTTAAACCATTTGAGTATAGTGTGCTATTGGTTATCTGTGTGTAATTTACTTATGCTGGTCTAGTTAAGGCCAATCAGTTTGCAGTCAGGAGAAAGTCAGGGACACAGGTCATATCAGTTAACTATTGCCCCAGTAATGCTGCATAACTGTAAGATCTCAGCAGTGTACAGTGCAAAACGTTTACTTGGCTCGTGAATTTGTGGGTCATCAGCTGGCCCAGGCTGGGCTCTGTGCTGTGTGCCTCTCATCTTCCTCCTGGGACCAGCAGTCTGGCCTGGGCATGTCCAGGGCAGATGCACAAAGCAGTAAGCCCCTCCACAAAGGTGCTGGTCACAGCTTTGGTCCTATCACACCTGCTAACCTTCCACTGGCCAAAGCACATCACATGGCCTAACCCAGAGTCGAAGGGCGTGAACAGGCGCCCCCTCTGTAGTGGAAGAAATTATACTGTCATGTGGCAGAGTATGGACACAGGGAGGTGTGAAGATTCGGACTGCCAATGGGCTCTGGCACTGGTGCCTACTAAGATGGAGTGGCACTAGAGTGTCGGGAGCGTGGAGCAAAGCCACCTCTGTCACCTCCTAGTTGTAAGGCCATAAGCAAGTGACCTAGGCA